ATAAACATCTACATCTACATCTCTCTCTCTCTCTCTCTCTCTCTCTCTCAGTCAGTGTCAGTTGGCGGTGTTCATGACCCTGAAAGGCAGTGAACGCTGAACGAAACGAGAAAGAGAGAGCGAATGGGAACTCGTGCTCCAACAGCCACGTTCCAGAAAAAACGAGGACGCACTATGGCCACTGCTGTTGGAACCAAAAACTTGTCCTTTGACTCGTGGATGCTGGCTGCGTCAATGGCCGCAGAGGCGACAGCTGCCACAGCCAGGGCGAAGCGGAGGGCGTCGAAGCTGACGCTGCTGACGAGAGGGGTACCCGACCAGCAACAGCAGCAGCAGCAGCAGCAACCGAATCCCAAGAGAAAAGTAAAGCGAGAGAGGATGAAAGCAAAAGAGAAAGAGAGGAAAGAGAAGAGGGAGGCGACAGGCTCTGGCGATAGCAAAGGCAGCGGCACGGCCACCGCCCGAGTAGCTTGCGTAGTGGAACTGCCATTCGCTTCGCCATTGTCCTCTCTTCGCAGCGGCAGCCAGGGCTCTTTGACTAGGCGTGTGTTAGCTAACTGATGAAGCCAGCGGCGGCAGTCGCAGGAACAACAGGAGCAAGAGGATCGCCGACGCATGCGTCCGCTGCCGCATACACAAAGAATCGAGCCGGGAGGAGGAGGAGGAGTGTAGGAGAGTGAGAATTGATGCAGCTCAGGCATCAGAGGCTGCAGTGGCAGTGATGCTCAGAGAGGCAACCTCTGACCCACATTGATTGACATCCCATACACTGCCACAGACTGCCACTACTGCTGTTGTCAAGGGCACCGACGCCCCATCCTCATCACCTCTTTTAGTATCTCTTTCTGGGTCCTGGCGTTTAGAATCCGGAATTTAGAACCCTTTCTACCAATTGTTTACCTGCGTGCAGTAGTGCTTACCTTACCTGTGCTGTTTGTTTACCAACAACATAGGAACAGAACAGTGGCCACTGAGGCTGCTGCTGCCTCTGCTGCCCAGCAACCTCTCAACATCCCTCTCACACTTTCAGTGCACACTTCGGACGACTGCCCTGCATCATCTCCTCCTTCATCTTCTCTTCCCTTCCACCGTCTATCCTCGCCTCGTCGTCGTTGTCTTGGTGCCTCTCTCTCTCTCTCCTTACTTTAGTGTAGCTCTCTTTCTTCTGCTGCTGCTTAAGCTTTAGCTTCTGCTCTAGGCCCACAACACACACACACACACACACACACTCCGAGTGACCACAACAAAGGACAGCTTTCTTGCAGCAGCAGCTGTTTTTGTTGTCTTCGATTGCACACCTTTAACTTTCTCGTCAAACAAACGTTCCCCTTTTCTTCATCACCCACTTAAATTGAAAATGCTTTTTCAATGCTGTCGCTGCTGGTCAGCATAAGAACCTCGCTCGATTACTGTCATCGAGTCAGTCAGTCACCACACCCCTTCAGTGGATTGATTCCTCATGACTGTGAGTTCTATTTCTGGTTTGTAAGTAAGAGATCATCGAATCTAATAAGCAATTCTATCCCAACCACTACCCCAGGAATTGTCAAACAGTGTTCGGCGACATGATGTCCGCATCTCCGTGTCCATCGGCAGCACACCACGCTGTTGATGAGGTGCTCTTTGGAGATGATGATGATGATGTAAGTGATTCATCGTTACTGTTAGGTTTTAGAACTTTTTCTTAGTTTTAGAACTGTCAATGGCATTGTTCTCCCATTCTATTTAGAGTGGAACTCATCTCACTGTAGTGAGTCAGTTGTTTGTTAGTATAGATTGAATCAGGTTCTTTATTAGATCACGCTCTCCCTGTCTTCTGAATCTCATTTCTCAAACTTATTCAATCCCACAGAGCAAATTCACGCCTCCGCCGGTGGCCAACACTACCTCGCCCTATCTCTCGCACCTGCCCTCACCTGCTCAAACTGAAGTCAGTCAGATTGTTACCTCGTCTCAGGTAAATCCTTCAACCAATGTTGATCACGACTAAACCACTCTCATCATCCATTAATCCTTAGACATACAAGCACTTTCTCGCTCAAAAGTACGCCGCCGAATCGACCTCTGACAGCGCCGATTCCGCCGTCAACAATGACAACAACAGTTCTGTTGCTCTGCACCTTCAGTCATCCTCATCCCCAGCAACAACGCCAACATCGGCAACATCTGCAGTTGCTCAGCAGCAGCAGCAACAGCAGCTGACACTGGCCAGTCAGACTGCCCAGCAACAACAACAGCAGCAGCAGCAGCAATTTCAGCACCAGCAGATCTCAAGCTTCTACCCTTTCTCGCCGCTGGTGAGCAGCAGCTCTCACTTTGACAGTCGCGGTCTGCTGGTCGGCGATGGCACCTGCTCAGGACCTCCTCCTCAGGTGGGCGTCCTCGAGGCCTCCTCGGTGGAGTCGCCCAGCACCTCAAACGGACAGGCGGCTCCAGGCGCTGGAGGTGGTGGTCCAGGATCGCCTGAGTTAGAAGGCGTTGCTGGTGCAGCACAGGCGGCGGCAGCGGCGGCGGCTCTCTTCAACGAGAGCGCCATCAACGCCATCGCCGGCTTCATCAAGGACGTCGACAGCGCCCACAACTCCCACCTGGTGACCACCATTCAGCAGACAAGTGCTGGTAACGGCGGTGGTGGTGGTAGTGTGACCTCCACTTCCACCGCCGCCGACAGCAGCCTCTTTGACGTGGCCGTGGCCGTGGCCGGGGCCGGAGCCGATGGTACGGTCGATTCGACGACCACGACGGCCACCACCTCCTCCTCCTCTTCCTCCTCTTCGCTCAACCCAAACATATCACCCAACTCCAGTAGTAGTAGTAGTCAGCAGCAGCAGCAATTATCACTGTCTTCCGCATACGCTGCCTTTGGTACTTACAATGGCCAACAGCAGCAGCAGCATCTCAGTCAACAACAGCAGAGCAACAGCAGCTCTGTCCTCACATATGGTCACCTCTCGCCGGAGGAGCATCACCACCATAACCACCACTTTTCCACTGCCTCACTGCTGCACATGGACACCAGTGGACAACAACAACAGCTTGGTCAGCAGCAGCAACACCAATCACTCCTGCTGCCGCCCCTGTCCTCGCCGACCATGTCGCAGATTGACAGCTACTTCAACGGCACCTCAGGCGCAGGCGGTGGTCAACAGTCGTCAGCTGGCAAGATAATAGCCTCGCCGCTGAGCCTCCAGGAGCACCACCAAATGCACCCCCACCACCAACAAGCTTCTCACCACCAGGCGAACTTTATCGTCAACGACGTCATCGCCGGCGGCGGCGGCGTCAGTGGCGGTCACTGCGGCGGCCTGCTCACCGCCGAGGAGACCAACTGCTTCCTCAACGATCTCAACCACCACCACCACCACGGCCAGGAGGAGGAGGAGGAGGAGAGCGAACACATTGTGGGCTCATTCGTGCCGGTGGTACCGGAAGAGGAGGTGCAGGTAGGGCAGGAAAACCGCCTGCCCGTGCACAACGTCATCAGCGACGTACCGGTACTCACTCGGGCCCGGGCATCGCTGCCCGTCGAGTACCTCTACCTGGCGGAGAGCCTCACTGATGGCGGAGACGGCGCCCGGCGCCTGGCCGTTTTCGCCCGCAAGTCCATTCCCTCGAAGACGCAGTTCGGGCCAATCGAGGGCGTCATTGCCTCCTTCAAGAACGAACTGTACAGCCTCTCGCAGATCGCCTACAGCGCCAAGGACTACCTGCACATCTTCATCTCGG